AGCCGGACGCGAGAGCGGACCGCCCTGGCAGTGCGGCTCCTACATCCCCGCTCCGCGGGGGAGGCGGCGGTGCCCGCCCTGCTGTTACCCGCGGGAGGCGGGATGTAGCCGGCCTCAGGGTCGCACGTTTCTGCTCATCCTTTGCTGGGGGCGCAAGCAAGTGTTTCCTCGTTGTTTTCATATTTTCATCTATATATATATAAAATATATGCAAAGCTTTAAATCTGTAAAGACTGGTTAAGTGTTTCTGAACCTTCGAGTTTGCGCGTAACTGCGCCCTGGGTACCACCTCCGAGGTCTGGTGGTGGCAGCCGAGCTCACCGCACTCGGGGAGTAAATACATCTGCGTGCCGCGGTTTCATACGAGCCGCGCTTACGAGTGAAGGCATTTTCTGCTCTGCATCCCTGAACGGACACCCAGGGGGTTGTGTAGTTTGTTTTTTTCCCCTGTGTGAGAGTTCCCAGGTGTGTCCAACCGTCCTGCGGCCTGGCTCCTGTGCGCAAACACGGGGTTTCACTGGGGCAGCGGCTACCTGGTTTGTGGGAGTCTCCTGGCTTCAGGGGCGCTACAGCTACGTTAGCACTCAGCAGCTCTTCTGTCAGAAACGAAACGTCCCTGGAAGCCTGTGCCCAAACTCACCCTTTCTATGGAGTTTGGAGTGAGTTCTTTCAGACTCTGAGAAATTGGAAACTAGCGGAGTAAAGCTCCTATTTGCATGGCAGAGTTGGGGACTTTCATACAGATGGGACAGATGAGTATTCACCGCTGCCTGCTTGCATGTGATTTCCTTTGTTGCAGGGAATAAACGGTACAGAAATTAATTTGCTTTTCAGTTGTTTCGTAGAAGGTAACAGAATAGAGAGGTACTACAGAACACAGATGTACTACTGCACAGGCAGTGAATGCTGTGTAAAAGCTTTTTTTTTAGTTTTGAGGGGTTTTTTTAGATTTTTGTTTTTTAAAATATCGACTATCCTAAACGTTTAATAATTACTGCCATGGGAATGTAGGAAACAAAGTAATGAACTCTGACCTTTATCAATATTTTTTTCTCCCTTATGGTGCACCTGTATGGTGTGACCAGTCCTGACCAGTTTGCTGGATGCTGCTCAGGGTGTGCTGTTCTCTGTCTGTGTAAATGGCACTTGCTGTCAGTCTTCAGCACGGCCAAAATCCAGGTGAGAGATCTGAGGCCTAATCCTGCAAACCCTTCCTTGCACAAGGTGTCTCATATGTTTTGGGCAAACCAAACTAAGTAAAACTTGCTCCCTGGAGCCTGTACCAGCATATGGAGCTACAGGTTTTTCAGTGCAAGTAACGTTTGCTGCCACGGAACAAACTGCCGTTGTTCAAATGGGAGTAGTACTGGGCCCTAACCCAGGGGCAGGAAGGTTCACGTCCAGCTAATCCTGGCTGCCAGACGCTTATTTTTAGTTCAGCATTAGCTGAGGTTCAGCGTGAGCAGCGTGGGGGAGTGGAGAACGGTTCACAGTGCCTCTTTCAGGGAACAGCTTCAAATGATATGGGAAAGAAACAAGTGGTAAGTTTGTGGATCCTTCAGTCTTACCAGTCTTACGGCCTTTTTTATTTCTGATATCAACTGAATTTTTGGAGAGTGGGAAATATTTATTCCTGTATACTCTTTTAATATAAATATATAACACAAAATCTGAAAGTAAACTGCCTGCCTTTTTCTAGATGAGAGAAAGTGCAAGAGCTCAGTTTCAGATTGTCAACAGGAGATACTTGGTCTTAGATTTTAGTTGTGTTTGACCTGCTGGTAAATATTTTCAAAATTATATGAAAATTAGTGTTTTATAATTTTTTAAAGTATTTTTCATAAATAAGCTTATTTCCTTTTTATTGCTTTTCCTTAATATTGTTCTGAATTTACAACTTTGTTAATAGAAAATACTCAGCTCACACTATATACTGTGCAAGTATATTGAACGCATAAATTATTGCAGTGTTTTGGTGTTTAAATAGAATGACTGATAAGCTTTCCCAGGAAAGCAGTGCCTTCTATGAAAAGTGAAAATTATTTAAGTGAAGTTGAAATGCAAGCTGCGCCTCACACACAGCTGTTAGGTACATGTCCCTAACGCAGTGCCCATCAGAACTCTGGCAAAAGCATATTACTCCTGTGTCGTGCTGAGCACTTTTATGTAACATCTCCATCAGGAGTCTCTCGCTATGTAAGAGGCATGTTCTCACCATATCTGGAAATAGCTGTTTCCTGTGAAGGGGTTTAACAGGCGCTCAGAAGAGAGGTGGTTTCAGACTTACAGAAGTCGACTTTTGTCCCTATCTTGTCTTTCAGTGCCCGCCTCGTGCCCTCCCTCCAGTGCCAAGGTACGATCAGTTCATTCCATGGAATTGATCATGGTTCTGTATGTAGTGTTCTTAAAAGTAATGAATTAAGAGAAATAAGTTTAATAAACATCTGAGTAGTCATAACAGCTTTAAAAATATTAGCTTTTCTTGCTAACTACTTGTCCTAGAACCCCTTACAAGGAATGCAAAGCATTTTAAAGTTTTACAGAGGCCAAGAAATTTTACTACATTACCTCAGTTTTAATACTCTGAGAGAGAAACCCTTTAAAAAGTTTCAGAGAAATAGCTACTTCGCTTTTATTAACATCTACTTTAGTTTTAGGGATGTCCCTCTTTTCAATCTCTTCTTCCTTCCCTCTTTGTTTTCTTTCCTGTTCTTTAGTGTATTTGAATCACAAATCCTTCAGAACAGGAATTTCTGAGATTAGACTAGATATTCTTGAATAGGGGTATAGGTGTATACCAGTTTGATGTATAGGGCGAAATTTGGGCTTTTTTTTTTCAGTGCCCTAGTGAGCAGTGTGGAGGGAAAGGCAATGACATGGTACTTCAGAATTTCTTCAAAGTACCTAAAAGCAAATGTGTCGTTCATGACTGATGACATAATGATAGTGTGTTTTTGGTAACGTATGTGCTCAGATGTTTCATAACTTTGGTTGGTTTGTTATATGTCAGGCAGTAAGACCAGTTTTAATTAGCTAGGTGATTAAGGCTTTTAATCTGATCCACAGCTAGCCAATCAAGAAACTGTGCATAGTCACTAACAAAGTGTTGAGTCTTGACGATTGCTTCGTACCCATAACCCTGTTGTACACAACTGCTCATAAAGAGAACTAGGAGCGGGGATAAGGAAATTAATTGCAAAAGCAGCAGTGTGAATTTCACTGTTGTGAATAGTAATTGATTCAAAACTAACTTTCTTCTCATCTTTGTTCCTTTTACACTGCTCTTCAACACCTTTTCTCCTTAAATGTGAAGTGGAAACCAAGGTGAGTTATTCCAACATTAAAGAGAATTCTAAACATTGGTAGTTCCTTTTGGTGTTGCTTCATCCTCTCTTTAAAGATAGGGCCTTATGCTTTTCCTAAATGCAGGCTGATTATTTAAACTGCATGGATACCTGCGCTGCTATTGCTAGAACTGCCTGTTGTTTTTCTTTGTTCTCTTTACTGTTTGCTACTTCCGTATCGAATCAAGGTAATAGGAATGTTGTCACTGTGCTCTAAACAAGAAGTTTATTCTTCAGAGCATTATTCAGAGTATTTCAGTTTTTCACTTAACACACGTGCTTGTGCATATTTAGCCTCTGCTGACCTTAAGACAGATTTCCTATCCTGTTTTCCTGCCATCTTCTGTACTACTCCTGCTTGTGTGAATTGGTGAATTGTCACCTTATCTGTAAAAGGTGGAGGATGTCTTCACTTGTACAAAGGAACCCCTTTCTTAGCTAGCAATAGAGTGGCCGTTAAAAAAGGGAAATGGAGGTTTTTCCATGCTGTGCACCTATACGTCTGTTTTATGTTCTGCAGATGAAATTCCACTCAGTCGTCCCAAAAAAAGGAAGCCCAAAGGAAAGACTCCGTTAGGTAAGGTCCTGCCAAGACTGGAAACTGTGGTTGTAATCCCGGGTGAGACCTGTGCTGTAGCCAAGCTCCTGACAGATACACGGTTTTCAGTCTTGTACTCTATTATTGAATAGTGTTCTCAGCTAATTTATTACAATTGATTTTGTATTGAACGACTGTGATCTTTTTCCCAAAGTGGTGTCATTTTAGAACAAGTCTGTAATGCTAACTTAAATAACTTGTTCCATCCTCTGCTCTTTCTCCCTAGATCCATTCCCGGTACGGCTGATACAGCATGTCTTGATACTGAACATTGTTATGTTGAATGTGTTAAGTGCTTGAATTTTTGAATGAACTAAGATAAAAATCATTTAACAAATTGGCTCGATTTCAGTCCTTGGCCAAATAAAGTCACAAGTTAATCATTCCATTACCATCAAAGAGTTAAGAGCCTAAAATATGACTAACACCAGAGCTTTGTTTTTTTACAAGAAGTGGATCTGCAGAACAAACATACCATTTTAAGCAAGATTACAAGTCTGATCTATTTTGATAAAGCAGAATGTATTGATAGAATCTGGTGGACTTCTGTAAACCAGTTGACTTGGGACCATATGATGCTTTGATGAGTAAACCTCCTTTATTTGCTTAAAAGAGTACAGTTGAGGGCTCACTGAAAGACCTGTAAATGCAACAAGTAGAGCTGTTGCTAGCAGGGTTTCCCAAGGATCAAGTTTTGTTTACTGTTTTTTTCAGTGACCTGAATGACAGTGCAAAGTACACCTTGGCTTTGGCCATTACTTTGCTGGTTAATTTTGTGTTTTAGCATAGAAAACCTTTCTAAAAGGTGGGAAAACCTGTGCTTGAAGTGAAAACAAAGATAGATTCAGTTGTTATCATGAGAACTGCAGTACTTGGAAGAGCTATAAAAAGGCAGATGCGATGTGAAATGGAGAAGTAGCTTTGTCTTTCTACTTCTAATGATGCAAACATGCTAATGCTGCTAGAGTATTTGATGAATTCATGTTAACTTCTCATGGAAATGTAGTTCCTCCAAAGCGTAGTAATTCATCTCTCAGACTGGAGTAAACATCCTTCAGTGTTGTTTTATTCTGCTCCTCCTTTATTCTTGTGGTGTTTGTTTAGCATTTAAATTTCCCTTTGATATTACACTATTTTGCCTTAGCACATATCTGTGTGAATAAATTTGTAACAAACTGTTATTTTTTCTTGTCCCTTGCATTATAATCTTTGCATGTAGAAAGGAAAAATATAGAGGTATAGTTCTTTCCTGTGGTAGATTCCTTTCGGTCAGTCCTCTGTTGTATGCCCAAATGGGAATTGTGCTGCTTCTTGGATACTTAAATTTCCTCCTGGGCATGAAACTGTCAGGGTGAAAGGAGGGTTGTTAGTTATCACCTTGTATATTCTTACTTACCACATTTGTTTCCCAACGCTTGTATTTTCTAGCCAGTACGTTTTCATCTCAGCTGTAAGCTGGGCAAAGACAGATGTTCTGCACAATGTAGCAAATGGCAGCTTTTTCTTGCCTGTTTCTCAGCAGCTCTGAATTAAGGTTGCTGGATCTTTTCATCTGGTTTTCAGATGGCATCGTCCAAGCAGCTGTTCGTTGGCAGTCTGAAAGCAGTGAGCCCCTGACTCCTGAACCTCATGATGTCCCTCCTCAGAGGAAACGCAAGAAGAAGAAAATACCTACCGGTATGTGAAATAATTGTAGATTGGAAAGAGCACTGAATAAAACTTGATAACACAGAAATATGATTGGCCAACTTGTATTTTGGCTTAAAACATTTCAAATCATGTCCTTTGGTCTTAAAACAGCTGAAAGTAATCTCTGAGTGAATGGTAGCTTGGAGTTTCAGTTTCTGATTTCAGATTCCATAGGGTACAAACTCTCATTCAAATAATGGCAATACAGTTTTGGAAGTGATAAAATAGATCCTTTGTATCATTCAAAGCTCAGAAAAGCATCACTTTTTTGCTACTGTGCTTATATAGTAACTATTTATGTATTTAAGTGAATGTATTTCCATTTTTCTGAAAGCTGTGAAACTTCCATGTGGTTTATTTTAAATCTTCAGATTCTGAGACCTCTTTTACCCAGCAAAATGTTGCATCCTTATTTCAGAATGGAAATGGCATGGATGTCCCTGAAGCTGAAGAAACAGTGATCCGCAAACAGAGAAAAAGAACAAAGTGAGACAAAACTAGTATAGCTCATAATTCGGAATAACTGTGATAGTGAACGTGGCTGAGTAGCATTTTACATTGTCACATTACAAAGATGTAAAATCTTGAAGCCCACGATACCATTCAGCCTGTGCAATAAATAGTATGTGTGCAATTCTTTCCAGGGTTAAGATCTAGCTTTCTTCACTTGTTTGTTTTATGCGTACCTGGATGCATTACAGTTCTGAGTACATTTACATGAGCCTAATATTTCAGTCACATGCATGAGAAAATTAGAACGTGTAACTGCTTTCTTTCATTCTTACTATCTTTTTCTTAATTTTATGAGAAACTTAACTGCTTTCTCATCCTTTTTATTTGCCTTTTCTCCAAGAACTATGCCTTTAAATCATTTTAGTCACCTTTCTACCAAAAGCATCCACTTTCTTGGCCTTCTATTTAGTTTGTATATTTTTTTTCTAATTGTTAATCTCTTGATATGTATTTCTTCCCACCTTATTGTTTTGACACAAGAAGGAATTTAAACAGAAAAAAACCAAAATCAAGGAATAGCTTTATGGTTTTAGTTAACTAACTCCATGAGAGCTTTACTCCTTAAAATTATAAATGGAGGTAATATTACACAGGTCAGTAGCCTGATCGGTTCTTATCAGTCAAGTTAGACATGTTAAATGTTCATAGGTGCCTTCAGCTTTCACATTTTACTTCCTGTTCTTTCTCTGCCCCATTGTATGTTCTGTGCTGATAGGAAACCTCGGCCAGCCGAAACGCACTGTTCCAATGAGCTGGAAGTGGAGGAGGAAGACATCATTGAAGATGACCACAGAAGGAGCCCAGATCAGCAGCCTGTGTTTGCTGCTCCCACTGGAATTAGCCAGCCTGTTAGCAAGGTGTTTGTTGAAAAAAATCGTAAGTACATCTTGTGATTTAAGGACATTCTTGCAACTAAAGGGAGCGTTATTGTATTTAAAACCCAAATACTGCACTATTGGGAAGAATTAAAGAAAAAGAAGTTTTCCAGCACAAAAATTATATGGAAATAAACATAATTTTTCAAGAGCGTATGTTAGTGTTGTCGTGCTGGCATGTTTGGTTGAATTTTTGAATTCCATGGTGTGGATGAAAAAGGCTGTTTGATGGTACCCAACAGTGCTTATTTGACCTAATACTGTCACAGTACCGTGAGAAGAAACTATCATTTACTATATTGCAAAAAGTCTTTCAAGTGGAAGTTGTTTGTTGGTTTGGGGTTTTTTTGTTACCACGGAACACTGAGTAATTACCCAAAGTGCTTTGCACATTCTTAAATCCATAGCCTGACCCACCAGGGTACATCACATTGACAGAGGCATCCTGATACAAATGTAGGCTGACAAAGGGCAGGAAGTGGGGAGAAAAAATTTTCTGATGGAACTTTTGATGCTTACAGCTTTTTAACACTAATAAGTATTAATGTAGAAATGATGGTGGAAGGTAACAATACTCTCTAAAACTAATTTCCTAATCCTTTCAGGGCGTTTTCAGGCAGCCGACCGTGCAGAATTGATTAAAACCACTGAAAATATCAATGTACTTATGGACGTGAAGGCTTCATGGACTACCAGAGATGTCGCTCTCACAGTGCACCGAAGTTTCAGGTGAAAGATAAACGTTTTAGTGTAAATAAGCAGAAATCAGGGTTGTTTTTTTTCTTCTCCCTGAAAGTTAGCACCTTTTCTCTATCATTGTGATGTATATTTATTTCTTTTGGATATTCCTAATAAATGGTGGTTTGGGATGCAACAGGTATAAAGCTTCTCAGTCCTCTAGCTTTTGGTATTTGTTGTTAAGAATATCTATTTCAAGTCTAGATATCACATGTGAAATGCAACTTATAAACAGAATAACTAAGGAAGTCATATTGCAAAGATCCAGACAAAATCTGAATAGCAAGAGATTGATCCGATAACAAAAATACTAGAGACCTATGGAAAAAATGTGTTACAAAATGAGATTCGCCCATCAGCTATAATATGACCAGAATTAAAATACCTGAATTCAGATAATTCTCAAAGAAAAAATCCTGGCTGGTGAAAAAGATGGAGGAGTGAAATTGGACTGGGGCATAAGCTTGCACACAATAGCAAAAAATTATTATTTCTTTTTTAATATGTGGTTGCATTGTGATACAGAATGGGAAGATGACAGTCATTTTCTTCTCTGGTGTATTTTATCTGGAAGCCTGCGCTTCCTTCTCAGCTTTTTCTTAGCAAGGAAGGTAATGAAAAGACTGGCTCAAGGACAAGTTTAAGACCATTGTGTAAGTGTAAGGGGCAGTGGTTGTGGGAAGCTACAGGCAAAATGGGAGAGTGTGGCAAGTGAAAGTATTTGATTCTGGTAGCAATAATGAAGTGAAGTAGTAATAGGATCAGGCAAAACATCTCGGTTTTCTTTGTTGAGTGCTCAGGTACTGGTGCAGTCTGTCAAGGGAGGAAGCAGAAGTCCCGTTGCTTAGCATTTTTAAAACTAGATCAGAAAAAGCACTCAGAAACAGTCTGTGAAAGGCTGGCATCCTGTCACGGCAGCAGGGTTGAACAGATGGATTCATAGGCCTTTTCTGTCTGTAGTTCGTCACTAATTCAAGGTGTTAAACTTGTCTAATGTTCTTTTCTCCGTTCAGGGTGATCGGACTCTTTACCCATGGCTTCCTTGCTGGGTATGCTGTATGGAACATCATTGTTATCTACATTTTGGCAGGAAATCAACTTTCCACAGTTTCGAACCTGCTCCAGCAGTATAAGACACTAGCATACCCAGCTCAAAGTTTGTTCTATTTGTTGCTGTCTATCAGTACAGTCTCAGCCTTTGACAGGTAAAATATGTTTGTATTTGAAAGGCGTACATAATTGGTGTGCAATATGCTCCTTTCTCCTTCCTCTGGCACATTTTGATCTGCTGTTGATGATTTAATGTGATATACTTAAGAGAACGATTTTACACATGGCTGGCTATACAGATAAAGGGGGTACTTGTGCATTCAGACCTTTGTTACTCATTTCTGTCCATTGCCTGCAGCCTTGCTTCAGTGTGCTTGTGCTGTTTGTGTGATCATGAGATGAACCAGATGGGAGAGCTGACCTGCTTTTTTTTCGGGGGGAGAGAGGTGGTGGGGAACAACTAATGTTTCTATCAGGTTACTTTTCATGTGAATCCATTCCCCAGTCAGGTTTGCAACACGGCTGTGTAAACAGTTTTCCTGTCCTAGCTGGGGTTTCTGTATTACAGCTTAAGAGTGGGAATGAACAGAAAGAGGAGCAAAGACGACCATAAACAGAGTAGATTCATAGATGTTTCTTTTGGTAGTTTCCACGGCAGCATGGTAAGCCAGGGGAGAAGTCTGTTCTATGGAAGAAATTGTGACTTTTTTTAAATTGAGTGGTGGCAGGGAGGAGGCCGAAGTTACTCTTAATTGCTCGCGTACTAGTGTAAGCTATATGAGCAGTTATATTAGCATAACTCGGTTGGTGGTGTGGACACTGAAATGAATGGTAAGGATTAGAGAGGGGACAGATCTCTCCACATTATCCTCGTTCCAGAAAGGACTGCAGTGTGAAAGCTACAAACCTCATGGAACATCCTCCTTAGTTTCAATCTTTCTTGGATTTGGCATAATGAGGATCATTGTGTGGAATATAGTTGTGTATTAAGGCACTGTAACAGAGGCAGAAAAAGGTACCTTGCAAAAAGTAAAAGAACAATAGAATACTGTTAGAGGAACAATATTATTATTTTATTGGGCTGTGTTAATGACTCTTGTTTTTGTAATCAGGATTGATTTGGCAAAAGCATCAGTTGCACTGAGAGGCTTTCTTACCCTAGACCCAGCAGCAGTAGCCGCTTTCTGTAAGTATTCTGAAGCGGATAGGAAGTTGTCCAGAAAAGACAGTAGATGGAGAAATCCTACATACTGTTTTCAGTGAAATCTTCCTCCCTGGTTATTTTCTGCTTTAGAATAAGTGACTTGCTAAGTAGTTGAAAATAGCATTCAAAAGCTATGAACACTTTGCTACATGTTTTTTAAAGCATTTGCAATAATAGCATTAGTGGAGCTATGAGTGAGATAGTTCTTTTCCCACTTCTGAATACAGAACACAGACCTAGCAAAAACCAGAATCACAAGATGCCACCTTTGATGTAGCTGATCAACTGCAAAAGTGCAGAAACCAGATTTTGATGGGCCAGGGGAATGTTGAAGAAGAGAGAATGAATTAAAGGAGACTATCGTTGGAGGCAGTGGAGTGAAAGGAAAGAAAAAGTAGTGATAATTATCATGTCATGATGAGACAGCATTTTTGGGGTTTATATCTGACACAACTAATTCCATTTCTTCCAGTGTACTTTGCTGCTCTTATCTTATCCTTAAGCCAGCAGATGACATGTGACAGAATTAACCTCTACACACCACCTTCAGAAAATGGCAGCATCTGGTAGGAAACTTCAGAAATCACTTCTGTAAATTATAACATAGCCCACTTAGGAACCTTAGTCAAACTGGTGGATTGAAAAGGTTATACAGCATACTTAAGAAAGTATTAATGAAGGATTTCATTACTAAACCTGCCTTTGTCTGCGCTTGTCCTGAATCTGATAATTTCACTGAAAAATGAGAACCCAGGGATGGGTTCGGTCATGTTGGTCGCAAATCCATTATACCTCAAACAAGAGCCTGTTGGAATGATGCTGAAAATGTCGTCTGGCAGGAACTTGAAGAATCTCTTTTGCTGGAGAAATGGGACCCTACTGAGGTAACCCTTTTTGTGTTCAAGGGCAGGACATTCTGTAGAGATTCAACACTGTTTTTGAAGGAGATGGTCTAATCTGTCCAAGAAATTAATATCATGGTATTACAAAGAAGTGGTGTCTGCCACAGGATGCAAGGACTTAGCAGACACAGCTGGCATTAAATATGAAGCACTGTTTCATGCTAGGAGATCCCATCCAAAACTGTTACTTTCTGAAGTAGGTATTTAATGGACTTGAACTCCAGTAGCTCGAGTTTTTAAAATAGACCAGGAGAAGTAGAACAAAAGCATTTACATGAAAATTTGTTGGTTTGGGCAGTTAGATATTTTTTCTTTTTTTTTAGGGCTTCTATAAATGTTTGTTGAGTTGTTTATTAAAAAGCCTAGATTCTAGTAACAAAACCGCAACCTGCTGCTGTTATGACAGTAAGAAAAGTGTCAGCTAACTTAAATCATAACCTTCTTAAAGCCCTATCTCATCCACCCCACAGCATCTGTACACAAGTCCTTGCACTCACTTCCAGACAGACTTTACTGACTTGCTGTTCACTTGCTTTGCTGCCTCATGAGGAAGTGCTTAAAAATAAGATTGGCGGACAACATTGTGCTGTGTCTTTTCACCACAGTAAAATTTGACCATGCATTTTGATTCTTATTTTCTGTCTCTTGGCCAAGAAAAGGAATTTGCTGTTGAAATCTACAAGTGGACTATGAGATAATGGGGTTTCTTAGCTGAGTTGCCGTCTTTGGTAGTCGCTCTCTTTACCAGATCTTTGCAATGCTAGACCATCAGGATGGTACAAGTAGTTCTGTTTTCACATCTGGCTTAGCAAGCATGTTTTTATGATACTCCGTTGAAATTTTTATTGTAACCTGTATGTCCCAGTGAACCCCTGACTGGTTGATGTGCTTTTCCCAGGACGACAGGTACAGAGGAAGAAATTGTTCAGCCGTGGATTGTGGTGAATCTGGTAGTGTCTATTCTAGTTGGGGCAAGTTGGATCTTCTTGTCTTACCGACCAGAGCTAGACCACAGTGAAGGTAGGAAACATTAATAGGCAAAATGTTGTTTGTTCAGGCTTTTATCTGCTGTGCTCTGCGTTCCGTGTTCAAGACTAGTCCTAAGAAATTTTGTGGCTGAGGAAAAACAAGCATCTCCTAGCAACTTTCCAAAGCAAGTGCTTCTTAGGATGCTGGTATCTATGTTTGGTCTTGTAAAGAAAAAACAGTAATTTAAAAATAAAAGAAAAGCCTTGTTTGTCCTGGCTGAAGAAACATGACAGAGCATGTGTCTTTTCTTCATTGAAGGGAAAAATAATTCTTACTTGTAACAGCATTTTGAATATTTGAAATGTATTTATTCTGTTTGTGTTTTAGAAAATTCCCTAATGTTATTAATGTTCCTTTTTGCAAATGATGAATGCGTTTTGAGTTCAGTATTATTTTCAATAGAACACTGCAGTAGTTTTGGAAACTCCTGAGCTTTGAAAAGTCAGATTTCAGAACAGGACTTCAAATGAGGACTGCTTGTGTTGATCCAGGCTGGAGGAGGGGGCAAGCAAGTAGTCCCATTTTCTTAGAAGCAGCTTTGCTAGAGACTAGGCCTTCTTCCTTTTGTTGTTCCAACTGGGATCCAACAGGTGTATCATAACTCAGATTTCCTATCAAGTGCATGCAGCCTGTGACTTGAAGCTGTATGCTGTACATAAAAATCCTAAGTTTCAACTTACAAGTCAGCACGTATCCAAAGAGCATCATGAGTCGAAATACAGATTTGTGTTTGGGAGGCTGAAGAAGATTCAACATGCTTCTTCAGATTACTTTAGAATGTTAATGTACAGATTTCTGTATTTCAGCTGGCCCCAGTTACTCTGCTTATTTCTAGTAACTCAATGAGTTAAAAAAAACACCTAGGTGGCAGCCTTTACAATCTTTGAAAGTAAAATTTCTAATAGATGTTTAAATTGCATTTAAGAGCCATTTTTTTAAAAATAAAGACTTATTCAAGGAAGCCAGTGGCAGGATTTAACTCGGGTTTTGATGAGCTTTTTTGATATTTACATGTGCCTACTAAGATTAGAAAACCTGCTTCAGAAATTTCAAGACAGAAATTCTGTTAGGACTTACCCAAATAGCAGAGAAAGTTTAGTCTACTAAGGATGAGGTAGCAAACACACGTGAATCTCAAACTTGAGTGGATAAACCATGTTGTTGCATGTACAGATTGTGTAAATTTACCGTGTTGGCAAACACAGCCTGGTCTATATGTTGAAGGTGCTGTTAGCAAGTCTGAAAGTACACCTACAGTGAGGGTGCAGTATAGATACGTAAGGGAGCCCAGATATGAGAAGCAGCACAGAGCTCTGCAACGGCTACCTCATCAGCTGCTTGGCATGCCTAGCTGAATTTCTCTGCAAGGAGCTCTTCACTGCTGACCTTAGGCTGTCTCCTGTGCCTGAGCTGCCATGGTGACAGCTAGCTGTGAGTAATATCATTCATGATTCTATTCCAGGTTCTAGTGTTGCTAACTTACGCTGTGATAGATAGAGCAGATATATCCATAAATGAACAGGTCTCTAAACAGAAATCTTCCTTCTTAAGTCTGACACTCTCAAAACTTTAACAACCCCTCAATCTACTTTCAGATTTCTGTTTCAGTGTCCAGGTTGAATGCAGGATGATACTGCGTATGATCAGCTGCTAACATCATCGCTAATTCTGTTAATTTTGGGGAGCAACAATAGTTTTCTCAAGACAGTGGTGGCCCTTGACATTGCTAAATTGTTGATACCATGATGGGGAAGAAAAGCAGGAGACTTGGGGAAATGCCAGAGCACTTTTCAGGAATAATGAAATCGTATTCAGGTGAAACTTTTGAAAGAAAACATAATTCTTTTCTTTCTCTTTTAGAACTGATGTTTCATGCTGAAATCGAGGAATTTCCCCAGGGAGATATCGTACCCAGAGTCCAGCCATAGTGTGGAAGAAGCATCTGCAAATATTGTAGCTGGGACTGATGGCTCAACATGTTGTGTATTATAGCCATGTATTATAACTTTCTTAAAGAAAAAAATGTATTTTTATATTGTATATATTTGATTTTGATCTTTTTATGTATGCTACAATTTCCAAATGTGATTGAAAACTTTTATACTTTTGTTTTTTATTTTACAAAGTAGATTATCTCTAGTGCATAAAGTCAAGGTGGTTTTGTAAACATTGCTACCTGTTATAGCCAAAGAAACTAAATGGATGCAGAAGATCAGGTATACAGTGCTTTTTTGACTGCTGTACAACAATCTGCTTTTGTTACTGATGCTGATAGCAGTTGCCTTACCTGATTTGGCTAAATACTCTCTAGAGATTAAAACTAATCTTATGAAGAAAGTAGTCTAAGGAAGATTATAACAAAACAGAGTTAGGAAACATAAAAATGACAAAGTTAGCAAGCATAAGTAATCTGGGTTTAGTTGTCATAAAAAAGTATTTGCTAGAATAAAGCATTGGATTGTCAGGGATTTTGTTTGATAATTCCTTAAAACAGGACACTATTTTTCTTCATCCTCATTTAGTTCTCTTGACAAAGATCTTGATGATAACAAGTCCTTTCAAGTTGATGTAGACAGAAGAAACCGAAGTTTTATTGTTGCAACAGTTTGGTCAGCTAATGAATACCTAAATACATCTTTTAATCAAGGAGGGTGGTTTTGGGTTGCCAACAGGACATACATACGTTCTGTAATTTCTCGACAGTCAGGACGCATAACTATTACAGAGCCATTCACAGGAATAGCGTTCTGATTTATCCTTATCTTGTATGGCAAGAGCAGCAGTGTTATTCACTGCTCTTTCTAAAGAAACTTGGATTTCACAAATTTTAAAAATGTTCCTATTTCTACCTATTTTGATGAAGAATGATTTCCCCCAAAAGGATGTTTGTTGTTTTGTGTTAGAATGGTATGCGAAACTTCTTCCTAAAATTACAAGAAAATGCTTACTAAAGCAAAACAAAAACCCTATAGCAGCCCACCTTCTACGTAGTGATGTAGTACTAATAGTGGCAGTTAGTGGTTTTTGATGATGAAAGCCAACATTCTTTTTCTTTTATATTAAAGTGGCAAAAAGAAAGCATTGCAGATGTGAATAAATACAGATGTCTTGCAGGATGAAACAGTTTCCTTAGCAGACATAGACGAGAGCTAGTTTGAAATCCATTTCTCAAGAAAGTATCACCTAAAGCCCCAAAACTATTTGTATATGTTATTTAATGTATTGATTTTGCATTGTTTTATTTAATGTGTATGTTGATTTTGTAAACATTGTGGTTTACAAATGTGGTTTACTAAGGTTATGGTTGTAAAGGTTGTGCAGTTGTCAAAGTTCCCTGGAGAATTACTGTACTTTCTAGTAGTGAAGGTAAGACTTGAAGGAGGATGTTAAAGAGCCAGTAACTTTCTATGCTGTTACTTGAGTTGCTTTAAAACAAGGATGGGAACATGAATAACTAGGGCTGCTGCTGCCCTGTTGAGGACTTGAGTTCTGCTACACTTATCCAGCAAATTCAAGTAATTCAAAAATTCAGTGTTCATGACATCTTTTAAATGGTGTGGTAATCTTGGGGGAAGAGTTCTACCAGAATTAAAAGACTTTCCACAGCTGTTGGCTGTGTTCTGGGGCATTCACTTTGTTGTGGGAAGGAGCTGTTAATCTTTTTTGTAAATTGTTACGGTTCTTGTGTATGTTTTTTTGCAAAACTGTAGAGCTGAATTATGGCTGGCACTCCATTGTACATTAAAATGGAGAGATTCATGGTGCTTCTCCCCTTCAGTGTTACACTGGAGGTTCTTGTCATAATTTGGCTGTACAAGATAGAGATGAAACACTACGTAGTGTTCCCATGCAAGTTGCCACCACACTTTCTCCAGATGTGGTGTGTTTGATTTATAGAATTGTTGAGCTCCTGAAGATGAGATTAATAATGGCTTCTCTTTGCTGTTTGACATTTCTGTCATCTTGGCATGGTAAGAAGTATAATTTTGCCCATCAAGTATGGAGCTCAGGCACAACAGTGCTAAGGCATCAAATCAGTACAGGAAAAACTTGAATAACATCATTGCTTGCATGCTGATATTACTAGGAATTGGCCTTCCACGTATCCCTTGGACAAAGTGATGCTAGCCAAGAGCCAGACTTGTTCTTGTCGTGAAATACAGTAGTTTGTTTAAATGGTTGAGCAGGGATTATGTTAATGAACTTAATGGGATCAATATTTCAAACCAGGCTTGCCTTTCCAGTTTATATTTTTTGGGAGGGTCTAAGTATATGCATACTTGAATTAATGAGGTTTGAAGTTTGCCATTTAAAATCACTATAAATAATTTGATGGCTAATTACCTATCTTACAAAGTACTTTTCCTTCCATTAAGCCTCACAATGGAATATGAGTTGAACTGAGCTTTTTTGTTTAGTTACTTGGACAGTTTTAGAACGAGTTTACAAAATAGATGTTTAATTACAGAACATGCAGTATCTGTAGAAGCCTTAACTGAAATGCCTTTGTGCGTTTCCATACCATTGTTTTTAATGCAGTATTTTTGTGTTAATGAAAAAATTACAAAGATGTTAGTGCCAATTTCATGGTTTTACATATATGAAACAATTAAACAATTGCTCGAAACTAGTTAGAAATGATTGTACTACTTTGTCCTGTTTCCAAATGATTAGTCTGTTTATTATGCGTAATATACAAGCTCTGAACAGGTGACTATGGGGATACATTTTGTCTTTATTTGTGGTAGTGGTGTAAATAATGGCTTTGCTTTCTCTCCATCACATTCCTGCTGCTGTACTGGTCTTTTGTGCAATCAGAAATGGTGCTGTAAACTCCTGAAAGCTAGCAAGTTAAATGTATTTAATCAGTTAATGGGGTTGTTTAGCTGAAAAAGAAGAACATTAAGTGGGGAATCTGATTGCTGCCTTTAACCACTTAATGCGTGCTTACAAAGAAGAGGCAAGTCAGACTCTTTTCAAGCTGCACAGTGGAAGGATGAGCAGAAACGGTTGCAGGCAGCATCAGGAAAACTCCTGTTAGCTGCCACAGGAGTTTTGACAGAATTTGGGATATGGGGGCCCAGAGGGGCTGTGGGAGCTCCATCCCTGGAGCTGTTCTGGACTTGGGCGGACAGAGCCCCATGCAGCCTGAGCAAGGGTTGGACCAGATGGGCCTCCAGAGTCCCTTCTAAGCTAAATTGTTCATATTTTGCTTCTTAAAAGGCAGTCATTTAAAATCTGGTTAAATTCCAGTTGTTTGTTCTTTTAAATGTTACTTTCTCAACTCAGCTTTCTCAATGTGAAGCCAGGTGGCATTAATTTGAAAAGTAGGTGTCTTTTTAAAGTTTTTTTTGGTATTGCTGAGGTAAACTTCAGGAGGGTTATGGTCAGGTCAGAATTATTCACTTGCATATTTGCAGCAGAATTAATTAAAATGACTGAATGCTTTGGGAGAATAGAGTAAATCATCAGGTACATTATTTATTGCTAAGCCATACCTTTCTCTTCCTTTTTCCTCATGGTGGTGTGGAAGATACTGTTGTATTCCTCAGTGCAGCTGTGCTTGAAATTGGTCTGTAAGTCCACAACCACCAGAGAAAGTCTCTTTTTTTTTTCCTGGGTGTTATTAATGTTCTGTGCCCCCCCCGGGGCTGCTCGCTCTCTTCACGGAGGGCAGGGAGGAGAGGTCCCGGCTGGTCGAGGCGCGTTGCCCTGCCGCATGAAACCCGCCGGCTGCTGCTTCTCGGACAGGTGTTTTTGGGAATGTTTTTTCCCTGATGCCCCCTGTCGGGGACAAGTTGTGTGTCGTCGTCCCCTCCCCGGTCCATTTATTTACCGATCAAGCGTGTCCATTTCGCGCCCCCCCTCGACCTCAGCCCGGAGCCGTTGCCCGCCGCCCCCTCGCGCCGCGCCGGCAGGAGGCGCCCCGCGGGGACGGTGGCGGGGCCGCCATGTCGGACTCGGCCTGAAGGAGTCGGCGGCGCCGTCCGCGCACCCCCCCCAGCCCCCGCTGCTCGCCGCCTTTTCTCTCCTGCGCGACGGGGAGCTGCCGCTGCAGCCCCTCGACGTCAAGCAGAAGGTGGCCGAGCAGAAGGCGGCACGCTCGCCTTGGAGGAGGAGCTGGGCGATGGGCGGGCTGGGCTCGCCAGCACCCACGGCCGCAACGGGATCGGGGAAAGGGAGCCGCGTTATCCTGTACCGCTGTGCCTGGGCACGGTCTTTCTCTCCTCTTACTGGGTGTCATTGCAGGCTGGGGTGGCTGTGGAAGGGACCTGCTTAGTAGACTCGTTTCCATCCCTGCCTCATCTGGGGATGAACAGACTTCTTTCTTAATGGGAACAGAGCTGGATTCCTCTGCTGCTTCCATCCCCCTTTATTTGGTAGTGGCAGCTAATGCATGCCTGTGTAGTAGCTACAATCGAAACGGGAAACCCAGTCAAGAAAAAAATCCCATATGTTCCTACACACGAACAGAACTATTGTCTTTAAGTCTGTATTTTAAATTTATGTAGTCTTTTCTTCAACCTTAAACATTTTTAGAGACCTCCCTAGCTAAGGCAGTTTCCTGTACTGATTTCCTGTACTGTATTCAAGAAAATGGAAGAGAGCATGGCTTTTCAGATTGATAGAGGCAGGCCTCAGACAGTTAATGATGAAGAGACAAGAAAAAAAAAGGCAAGATCTTGTAGATAAATTTCCACACCCACTGATAGATGTAGTGGTTAACCTACACAGTGAAAAACAGTTTAATGTGCTTTGAGGGGGGGGGACACCAAACAAAAAAACCCACCTGAGCAAATGAACAAACAAAAAAACCCCAAACCAAAACCCACCAAAAAACCAACAAAAAAACCCCAAAACAACCAACAATCACTTTTGAAAAAAGAAAGGGCAAAAAAAGAAATAGCACAGTCAATAAAAAATTTTGAAATTGTTAAAAGTCTCATGATAAAAGAGCAAGAAGAAATATCTGAAACCGTAAATTCTTCTTCCATTTTAGATGCTTGTAATGCTGTTATTCAAGTAGAATACCCTTGTAGGCCATGGCTCTCCTTTCCAGCAAATTGCCTAGAATATGTCCTTTTTACAAGCCGAGCATGAGGAAAAAGAAAAGTCATCAAGAAATCCGGACTGGAAGTCAAAAGACAAGCGATGTAGTAAGGCTCCTGAGAAATGTGTCATGCCATACCACAATCATCTGGGTCAAATATTAACGAGTACAATATTTAAGAAGGTAAAACAAACTAGTTTGAGGAAATCTATTGATGTAAAGAAAAAACATGGAAAGTATGCTGCACCACTGCTTTCAGCGTTACATGCTGCGGGGTCCAAGGATTCAAAATCATTTGTGTTCTCCCACACTAAGGAATACTTGAAGCAGAAAGCAAAGCAGGAAAAAGAGCATGACAGCAAGCCAAATAAATCATTCAAGTCTGTGATGGCTCCATCAGCTACTGCAGAACAACAGCTACCTCACACTATGAAAGCATTTAAAGAAAACTGATCTACAAGTGGCTTTCCAGATTTCACATGGGCAAAAGCAAATCTGCCTGTAAGAATATTCTTTTAATTGGCCACATCAAACATATGAGAATTAGAAAGAGAATTGATATCAGAATGTAGAATAAACAAACTTTTTAAATAAACTGTAGTAGATAAACTCAGCATTGATACTCTTGACCCATATGTCATGTAGAGTAAATTTTGACAAAACAGAGGAAAACCTATGCTTTCTGCCAGCAATCCCTCTGTTCCTTGCTTTCTGCTTACAGTATTTTTATTATATGTATCAGGAAATTCCACTAGCAAAGATTAACTTGTCTGAAAACATGCCTAAGGTTTTTGGACTACGCCATGTTACTTGAATTGTGAGTGCTGCTTTCAGTTTTTTTGTTTCATGACTGTTACTGCTGCTTAGATGTTGCTGCTAACCATAGTTTGCAATTTTTTCTTGATTCAAATATTGCTTCCACATGGCTTGTGCAATTAGCATTTGTTCCCCCTCCTCATTGTAAACATTATAGATTACACTTTTGAAGGGATGAGATATCAGTCTTGTTCAGGACAAATTGTTTAGTTGATGCTTCTGTAGATTTTCCCTGTAATGTTCATCCCATATGACACTGTTTGCTTTCTGCTCTGAACTATCATGTTAGAATTGTTCATCTTCCCCTTACATTCCAGAGGTAGGTTGAATTAAGTGGATAAAAGAGTTGCTAAAGTCATGGGCAGCAGTGACTGAGATCCTTGAAGAAACTGTGCTAACTTACTCCTCTTCTTGTGAGTGTGTAGCCGTTACAAATATTCTCATGGCTTCACAGGAATCCTGTAAAATCTATTAATAATGTATTTCCTATCCTTATTGTGTGTTAGTACATTACATTTTATTACTAATAATAGAATGAACCTGATTAGTAAGTTACGAGATATATCAAGAAGAGGACAGATAGAGGGCAATAGGTTCTAGATAAAGTATTTTAGAGCCAATTGTTTGGGCATATATACATTGTCACTGAATGTGAAGTCTGACTATTCTTTTTTATTGATAAAATCAAGAAAATTGTAATCTCTTTGATGTTGGCTGCCATCCTTTAAACATTTTTCAAGGATCAAATTAGCTTAATATACCTTCAGAATTATGCAAGCAAAGAAGATACAGACATGGACGCATATAGGAATCTTGCAAAAGCAACAGAGTCTGCTCTACATGATTTAGGAGGAGCTCCAGGAGAATGAGTTAGTTAGCCACTGTATTCTGCAAGACTCTGTACTAGTTCCCCATATTTGTAGGTCAGCTAAAGAGACCTCCAGAGTACAGACTGTAAATTCTTACATTGCATCGCTGGGTTCCTCTATTAGTAAAGTTACAGGAAATACTACCAGCTTGAAGTTTGAGAATCAAAACATTCAAGCAGAGCAAATGGAAATCAATCATAAGAAAAGGGTGAATTCTGTGAAATTCTCCAAGATTTATTACTGGAAATTGTGACACCCCAAAATGACAAATGAATCCAGAATGCCCTTCCAAAGAAAAGTGAGAGGGCAAGGAAAAATCTTACATGGAATCTCAGGTGGGAAGATAATGTTCCCTGGTTGTGATAAAAAAAAATAAAAATGAAGTAGTAGTAGTAATAATAAAAAAAAAAAAAAATGAAATAGTAGAAGTAATAATAAAAAAAAAAAAAAATGAAGTAGTAGTAGTAATAATAAAAAAAAAAAAAAATGAAATAGTAGAAGTAATAATAAAAAAAAAAAAAAATGAAGTAGTAGTAGTAATAATAAAAAAAAAAAAAAATGAAATAGTAGAAGTAATAATAAAAAAAAAAAAAAATGAAGTAGTAGTAGTAATAATAAAAAAAAAAAAAAATGAAATAGTAGAAGTAATAATAAAAAAAAAAAAAAATGAAGTAGTAGTAGTAATAAAAATAATAAAAACAACAACAATAATAATAATATTCTTGCAATATCTTTATTGCATCTTTCACTTTAAGTAGTTTGTTAACCATCATTGTTTTCACATTGCAGTAGGCCTTTGGATTTGGTAACAGGTGTTATATAGCTTTTCTGGCTTTGGTCATTTACAAAATAAGGTGTTGCACACTGTGCAATCTTAATTGGAATTGT